GGGGGCAGTTTTACAATTGACTACCCAGGGCGTTTATTCAGTCCTTTACCTCGGACTTGTGCCCTATGTACTGACACTAGAAATACGCAGGTGCTAGTGCTCTAATGCCTCTAGAAAGGCGCTAACAGCCGAAGAGTGTGCTGCTTAGATTTTGGTACCTTTTGGTGCCTCTACAAAGACACAAGCGCAGTAGCGCTCTTTAACAGCTAAGAGTGCAAAGAAAAGGTACCAGTTTTACACAATACATTTCCTGCATGCTCCAGCTTCGATCAGCCAGGGACTTGCGACACCCAGGGAAAGTGGTCGCGTGCGAACAACACGGGGCGCGCACGTGCCGAGACACAGACAGGCTGTCACTTCGGACGCGTCGCACACACGTTCCTTGGCTGACCCCTCCCCTCCCCCTCACCCAAGCCCTCCTCGCCTATTCGGCTGGCCATTTCTCCCTGTCTCTGTCTGCGCATCTGTCTCTCTTTAATATCTATTTCCTCTGTCACCTAACCTAACCTACCCTCCTTCAAGCTGCAATCATGGTCGAAAAACGATATCGATTCGAAGACACATTAAGCACGGAGAGAGGGGGGGGGGCAAAAAAGAAGAGCAACGACCAAAAAAACCAAATGATTCGCCGTTGCCTTCGCAGAGCGTTTCATTACCAGCCTCTCTGTGCCCTTCCCCCCCAGCGTAGTACTTCGGCCTACTTTCGCCGCGTGTCGCATAAGACGCGGTGCGGCTGCAAGGCGGTCGCCGAGGCGGGGCGGTGTAGCATTACTCGCAATGACAGAGAATCCCCCTATCATTGGCTGCGCTGCGCCACTGAACGATCGAGTTGAACCACATCTCTCTCTCTCTCACTCACTCTACCTCTCTCCCTCTCTGCACTAGAGTGACGACGTGACCCGCTTCCTCTCCACCGAGAGGATGAGACTCGGCGACCGGCCGCGGGGGGCCTCCGCGAAGACGACTGCATTTACAGTAGTGCGGCCGTACAGCAGGCGACAAAGTGTATGCTGGGCTGGTGGAAGTTGTCAACTTCTGAGCCTCAGGAATATAGTTGAGAACAAAAAACGGATCGTCCAGATAGTACGTCCGTTTTTTTCCCCCTCAGATTCATTTTTGGCAGATTATTTCGGAGAGCTCGGCGCCTGTGAGACTCGGGGTAGGCCACCCCGCAGTACACGCGCGCCCTGAGGGGGAGATGTTGCCTACCTACCAGGCGCTATGAGGGCTTGCATACGCCCAATTTGACAGGTTCGCAACGGCGAATGGGTGAAGTACTTTCTGGATGACTCCTAGTATAGTGCTACAACCGCTTTCAGAGTATAGGGGGAGAAGTACACACGTAACCTAAGTTTCCTCCAGCCAGGAGCTCCTGAACTTGGCTTACCTGGGGTGCGCGCTGTGTGAGCTCGGTCTCGGTGAGAGCGGCCAGGGAGGCGCCCTCCATGTCAAACAGCGCCAGCTGGACGGGCGGCAGCGAGAACTGGCGGACCGTCCACATGACCCAGGCGCGGACGTCCTCGGGCGTCCACAGGGTGGGGTCTGAAACAGCAACAAGCAGCAGGCGTCAGCGGGGGCGTGGCGGGCGCAGCCGGGCGCAGCAGAGCATTTGCATTACAAAGTCGTGGGCTCGCTCTCTTGCTTGCAATTGCTAAAAGTAAAGAGGGATTGGCCGAGTGCAGCTCCAACGGAGCTTTTCCTTTTCCTATCTGTCGCAGTGTGGCCACAGTGTGACCACAACAACGATATCTCGATCTCGCGCGCAATTATCGTGGCGGATCTACTCAAATCAGTGGTGCGATGTTACAGGAACGCAATGTGCCTTTTCCCCGAACGACGCCTCTCCGCCTGTGTGTATGTGTGTAAGTGTGTGTGTGTGTGTGTGTGTGTGTGTGTGTGGTGTGTGCGGTCGCGCGCGCGCCTGTGTACGTGAGTGGGTGTGGGTGCGCCACACGACAGAGCGTGCGAGCCGAAACGGTTCGCAGGATCGCCAGCCTGACAGCCTGACGGAGCTATTTCTGGCCTGATCACTTGATCACTATCGCCATTAGTAAATATGAGTGTCGGCCTGGCGGCTAATAATACCTCCTATTCTGACGAACCGGAGGGTTATTGTTGTCGTTTCGAAAAGAGAGAAAAAAATGTTAATCTTGCGGAAGCATATTATTGCGTGTTTCTGATGGCGCAAAAGCCCCGCCCCGGATCAGTGTCAAATCAAATGTAATGTCCGGCTCCAACCCGGTGGGTGGGCCACTCGCCCACATGTTACATATCAGCGTAAGACTTTAATAGGAGTTTCGTTGGTTTGTCCCTTTGCGCCGTACACACTGATCAGCTTCGAAGCCCGAGTGCGCGCGGTATAAATGAGGCAATTTAAGGTCAAAGTTTTGTATGAAATATGCTTATGGACTGTGAGCGATTTTGCATTTTTAAAATTAAAAATGTAAATCTTTCTCATGGGGGAAAAATGACGATTAAGAGTATGCAAATTTTTTGACTGGCAAATATTTAGAATGAGCAAAAATTCCGAAAAATTCCTTCAGTTTCTGTGTGTAGCTCGCTTATTTTTTTTGAGATACCACAGGTGATCTGTTTATGCTGCCATTCACATCATTTTGCGCAGGGTGCATTTCAGCAGCTGAAACAATATAGATCGGTCTTACCCGACCGTTAGAGTTGGAGGCTGCGACGCAAAAGCATAGTATCGTAGCATCGCAACATAGCATCGCGCGAAACTATCGATCGAGCAGATAGATTATTGACGGCAAATGACACTATGAATCACAACTCCCGCGTACTCGATACTCCGAGCTATAATATACGGTGACTAGTGGCAGACCTGGCCAGGGATGCATACACACATCCTGATGCCTTCAGACTCAAGATACACGCGCAATAAGAAAGAGGCACTTTCCCAGAAATAAAAACAAAATTTCAGAAACTAAATTTTTTTCATCCGGTGGTCAAGGTTAGTCAGCCCATTGTGACAGTGAAACGACTGTGTACCCAGGGGTCATTTTTGACAGACTTTTCGGGGTGAATCAAGCAGGGGTACAGAGATCATTCTAAGTTAATCTGCAAGTTTAGCCACGATATGAGTTCAATTTTTTTTTTAAACGATTGTCATTGTAAGACGCCTGAGAGACAGTGTGAATATTATACTCTGATGCCTTCCAGAGAGGTTCACGTGACGTACCCTCCGTGGCGAGCACTGCGCTAGACTGGACTGCGCAGCACAGCGCTCCCAAGGCCTCGCCAGGAACTTATGTGTAGCGGTCGAGCTATTAATAGCCATACTATGGGCGCCCGCGAGTATACCCGGGTACGTACACCCGCGGCCCGCGGGGGGTGCGGTGCGGAGGTGCGTGCCGGCGGGGTGTGGAGGGGGGCCTGGCCACCCCAGCGCCCGTGACAGAAGGCCGCCATCTTGGCGAGCAACACCAAAATATTCTCGATGGGGGGACACCTCCCTCCCCCTCTCCTCCCTCCCCCGTTCTGTGACGCACGACAACTTGTGACTCACATCACAACCCCTCCAGCAAAACTACTGCGAATGTGTTAGAAGGTTTTACCGTAGTTCTTTTACTCTTAAAACTAATTGATAGTTTGAATTTGCTGATCTAACCGTACCAACTCTCACTGCATCTCGAAAACGCTTGGAACCCTATACTAAGACCGGAAAGAGAACCGAAAACAACTGGCCAACATCATGAGCAAATTGCACGAGAAAAGTCAACTCGGAGAGAATAAACCGTGTAAATGGGAAATCTGTATAAAAATTACACTTTCATGAAGTGGCACTCCCAATAAGTTGCATATATCTTGTTTGTTTGCCTCCCAAGGACAAAGGCAAGTCCATTGCTCCTTCGCGAGCGCAAGCCAGCACATTCTCGAGGTGAAAGCTCTCCTCTCCTCTTGTTCCCTCCTCTCTCTCTCTCTCACTCACTCCCCCCCTCCTTCGTTGATTGGAGACTTAGACGGGGCCGAGCTCCAACCGCCTGGACGCGGAAAAGAAGCGAATGTCGCCGCGTAAGTCAAAACCATAGAAAAGGCAAAAGGCAGCCTTTAGGTGTTAAGCAGTTTCACACTTGGTTTTTCAGTTTCTAATACACGGAACACCCAGGAAAACGTGTCTCCGATTTTTTAAATCATCTCGATCCACTCAAGAACATTGCCCAACATTGGTATGAGTGCCCTGATATACAAAGAGTGGGTCGAGAACATTGGAATATCGAAAACATGTTTTCCTGGGCGTATGTTAACCGGCTGGGGGCATTAGGCATTACTTCTGCCCCAAAAACGTTGAACACATCTGGCGCGTAAGAACTTGCAGCTGTCGCGTCTCACAAAAGGTTGCCAACATGACATGGGCATATTATCAGTTTCACCACGGCCGTGCACGTTGCACATTCTGCACTTGTACTGAACCACACGACGCCGTATGAGAACATTTGTCTGTGCATTTTGATTAATTTGTTTAAAAAGTTGATTCCAGTACTACGCCATTTTTGATATTGAACATTTCGATGCAGCTGACCGTGTGTGTTGGTATTAGGTAGAGCTAGCGCGAAGTTTTTAATTTTATGTTTCTCCCGTCTGACTAAGTGGCGGGGAACGCCAGGCCGAGCCCGGGGGGGTGGCATTGCGACAGGGCGGTGAGGCGGTGAGTCAGTGACAGGGGGGAATGCCCTAACCTCCTTCTTTCCCAACTCCAGGCAGTGCACAGCAGCGCGGGGCGAACGGAGAATCGAGGACAAGGACGAACGCCGCTGCCGCTATACTTCCCTCTCTTTCTTCCGAGAAGCGCAAGTGCGTCATCGGGTGGCGCAGTCTCCCCCTCTCTCTCTCTCTCCCACTCACACGGGGCCCGAGGGGTAGCGCACCCGTCACGTAACCAGCCCGTGTCTAAGCCGCCCCGCTGCTGGTGCGCTCACGCGCCCGGAGCCGGCAGTTCGGGGCGAGGAAATCTAGGCATGGCGCTACTGAGTCTCATTTGGAGCTCCGCCCGCAGACCGCATTCTAAACGAATGCTATTTTAGGGTACCTATTTTTTTTAAACCGAATTAATGACATGCTATGCATGCACCTGTGCGAACTCCTTCTGGCGAGACTCTGCTTCCCCCACGACGGCACGCTATATGACTAAGCCTTGTTGCGCAATGCACGCACGACTGCCCCGCCGAGAGTGGGGGCGCGTCGTGAGGGGAGGGGGGGGGGGTGAATTAAGAGCGATCAAAGTAAAGGATTTTTAAAATTTTCCTGGAATACGCGCACTCCTGTTATACCACCGCGTGCCAGATACCTCGGGGATACTGAGAGGAAAAGTTACGCAAACAAAAAACACGTCCCCACTGAGAAGAGAGCGCACGCACACCACGGAAAACGTGGCAAAAGAAAGAAGGGGGAAAAAAAGGTTCTCGGGGGTACAGTCTGTGGGCAGCTTTACGGTACTCTATTGATGGAATGACACTTTTGTGGCTAGAGCGGCACGTGGCAAGGCGTGGCGCGCGCGCCGGTCAGACACAATTAAAGGGGGGAATAAAGGGCGAACTTGACGTCATTACCTGGAAAAGACCGCGCCCCCGAGAGAGAAGGGTCACTGTGTCTAAGGGGCCAAGGGACTCAAAGGGTAACGATATGTGCGTGTCACCCGAGAAGTCGACGCGTCGGCCGGTTCGAGCGCCGCTACTATTATCATTTCAATATCATTATTGAATGATCAATGCCTGGCGCGTGGGTGCCAAGCGTGCTAAGGGCGTTGGCGACACTGCGCGAGTAACATCATCATCAATGGTTAACAAGACGACAATTTCCGCCACTAGCAATGAAAAAACAACAACATCAAAAATGCTGTTTAGATATAGGATTTATACTGGTTAAAATCGTATTAACTTTTCTTTATTCACATTACATATTTTTGACAAATTTGTTTTTACTGACGTATCATAAAAATAGTATAAGCTGAGCAATTTGTCAAAAATACGTAAGCTATGAATTTAAAAGTTCATAAGATTTTAGTGGGTAAATCTATATAGTACAACCTCTTCATATTTCCACGGATATTTTCAATTGTTAAAAAAAAATTTTTTGACAGTAAACCAGAAAGAGACACTGTGTCGCTCCTGCCATATGGTACCAGCCGGCCGCTGATACAGAGAGTGGTTGGGCCCAGGCCAACATTCCTGCGGAGGATTTGTAAGGTGACTCGGGGAAAAAAATTTTGAGCGAAAGGACAGAGAAGAGATAAAAAAGGCGACGGGGAAAAACAACAACTAAACCGCTCAGCAACGGCCGAGTCGATGGAATGGCACGTCGACGGGGGCTCGACCGCGCTGCCCGCGCACGCTCCCCGCCTCGCGTCCATGTGTCCGAGTGACTTGCTAAAAGGGCGACATTTCTTAAAACTAATGGACCAAGGGAAAATATTGTAAGATTGTACGAAGTAGAAATGGCTCCGTGGTTTGTTTGTGGTGTTTCTAAAACTTGTTCAAAGCCCCACCGTTGCTGCTCGTGCACGATAACATGCTTGATTTATATGAAAACTTTTCCTAAAGAAAAAGAAAAATTGCGTTCTTCGTCTGCTAATTACCGCTGACCCTGAGCGTGCCCAAACCCATTCTCTGGCCATTGTTTTCAAAACAGGAATTTGCCTCATCCAGATCATATCTTGACTTTCGTACTATTTAGCGTTTTTCTCGGTGCGGTCGTGTGCGGTTAGAAGAAGCCGTCGATTCACAAGGCGCGATAAAGAAAGCGATTATCGAAGTACTGACAGACACCCAAGGCCAGTCGCGTCTGGTATTATTGGACAAAGACGAGGGGGCAATAACTCCCTTTTGAAGTGTACACATGATTCCCGAAATTCTTGATTCCCGGTGATTCCCGTCCGCTTATAATTATTACATAGGTTTTTCGGGGGGTTTTAGTGGTATAAAACGCTTATTCCGACTGATTTGTACTTATTTCTCTAGTTTCCCGCTTATTCTAAGCGATTTCTATTGATTTTGATCAATTTTTATCCTGATGATTCCCAGACAGGTGTACACATGATTCCCGGAGTTATTGCCCCCTCGGACAAAGAAAATATAAAAAGAAACGGAATACTAGGAAAGAATTTAGAAGCGAGCATACTGCATCTGTACACCATAAATGAAACTTGCACGGCACGGGGAAATGGCAGCGACCGTAGACTCGATTGGGAACCCAAGCGCGTCAACTTGAGCGTTCGGCTCGCCCCAGCGCCCAAGTCTCCGAAAGCGATGGTCGCTCACGCGCTCGGCGCGCGTCACAGCAACATCATCGCCGTCAAATGTATTGGATGCCAATGTTTTTGAAGCAGTTTTGAAACTTATGACGGGCATACAAAGAGCAACTATAGAGAAGAAAGCTAGTCGACCTGAACCGTCCATATAGATCGGAGAAAATCGAGGGAAAGAGATACTCCTTAATAATATTCGTACCGCCTATTGTGTCCAGCCAGAGCTCTCGACAGTATTCGCATAACCTCAACCTGTAACTCACATCAAGTGACAGGGCTCTTTCCACAGGATGGATAGACCAAAGTAACAGGTGTGCCAGCATTCAAAAAGTTTATGTCACAAAATGGCGAGAAATCGAGTGTCGAGTTTCTCGACACAGTGCGATTATTGTTGCTATTTAAAAAAATATTGCTACAGCTGTCACACAAAATATCTCAGAAGGCTTCTTTTTCGCGAGTTGGGCCTCCTGCGCGCCCATCGTATAGGCAGCCCCGCAAGGCATACAAGCATGGCGGGCTGGCCTACCCTCGCTTCATCAGGCGCTCGAGGAGATAATAAGAAGAGCAAAAATCACAGCTTCTTTCTTTTGCCTTTACAAACCCCAGCAACAAATGTAGACGCCACCATATTTTTCATCGCTCAGCCAATCGCACGCAGGTGTGGCTCAGCCAAGCCAATCGAATCGAGATCTCGATCTTTATGCATTATCATTGCCCGAGGCTCAACTTCACGGTGAGCCCCGCCACCGCCGCCGCGTCTCGCCACGCCACGCCACGCCACGCCACGCCACGCCACGCCACGCCACGCTCAGTCGAGCGCGACTCTCTCGATAAAATCGTGTTTGAAAATGCGCTGTTAAAAGTAATGAAACATTGGAGGTGGTCGATTTCGATGCCAATACCGATAGAAAGCAAACTGAGTATGAAGAATAAATTGAAATCACAATTCAAGTCAATGGTTTGGTCAAAACAAAGCTTTTAGATGCAACCATGGTTATTGAACTGCGCAGTCCCTAGAATGTAACGTTTCGCTGGTGCCCGGTCGCATGAATCCTATCGTTAGTCGACGATAATGTGTTTTTCTCAGCCGGCCGATGTGTGTATCGAGCATGGTTTTTGACCGGTGGGCATCGCTCGGCGGCGCGGCGCACACTAACGCCTCCTGTCCTTGTCGCGCCTCGCAGCGGGCCGGGCGAGTGGGAGAGAGACAGAGAGAGAGAGACGAGCGCGCTGCAGGAGAAAGCGGCCTGGTCACTGGGCAGGGGCGGCGTGCGGGCGAGCGGCGCGGCCCCTCTCACTCGCACTCCCACCGCGTACCCGTGGGCGGCAGCGAGAGAGAGAGAAATATAGAGGGAGAGGCGATGGGGGCGCGCGAGTTTTCGAACGCGAACCGTCGGGCAGGCTGCTGCGCCAAGCCGTGCGGCCGCCGCTGCCAGCGCTGGACTGGGCGGAGTGTGTGGCGGGGCGGGGCGCGGGGCGACGGCAAGGATTTTCAAGGTCACTTCGACAAGCCCCACATACATTATAAACAGCTAGGCTAAAACGTCCTATAGGCTGGGAAAAAAAATTTAAATTCTAAATTCTAATTTCTAAATTCGAGTTAAAATTACTCAGAGATGACAGATACGGAAAGGCATGTTAAAAATGTAATCAGAAAGTTAGAAAAATTACTTTTTCTCACATGAGACCAAAACTTGGTCAATATATTATTAAGGAAACCTTTATCGAAGATGATAATAATATTAAGATAAAATTGCGTGTCATTAAAATAATTATTCAATGTAAAAGTATTGCACAAATGAATAAATCTTCCCCCGTGTGTTTGTCTACGCGGAAGCCGCTCCGCGTAGCTCGTGCTCGTGGAGCTCCGTGGAGCCCCCATCATAGCCAGGCCCGGCCGGCCGGTCGGGCGCGGCTCCCAAGGACGGCCGCCCGCCTCAATAGCAATAGCAATATATATATAGGGCCGGGCCCACGGGCGTCATTGCGCACGCCGACCGAGCCCAATCGAGATAGCCATCTTTGTCGTGTCGATCGCACGAAAAAACAACACGCCAAAAAAAAGAAAGCGAAGAACCTCTGTAATGGGTAACGACAAAGAATTGGGCTAGAACTACTGGGCAAACGGACCACCCCATTGCTGAAAAGATTCCACTCTTTGATAACAAGAAGTACTCGTGTAAGCAGCCAAATAGGCAGTGAGTCTGCTGAATGTTCTCTCAAATGTGAAATTTTTGTTGTTCACATTTTTTAAAAAGTAGTATACCTATTCTAGCAGGGTATAGTGCAAAGAGCAATACGGATCACTGCTGAGTAATGGCAAGGGCGTAGAGGGAGGGGGGACGTCCACGGAAAGCAACACCGTCCGTGGAAAGTTACGGGACACGATAGAGAACGCGTGATCAAAACCTTCCACGAGGCGCGAGGCGGCTGCACGATCAGCCGAGACAAAACCAATCGCACATGCAAAAGGATCGATCAGGCCGTTTAATGTCCACCGGCAGGACCGGCAGGTGGCGTCTCTCTGTCGAGCGAGGAGCGGAGGGCGCAAGTTTAAGCAGCCAAGTGCACACTTACCGGGGGCGATGCCGAGCATGGAGCAGGTGTTGCCGATCTCGTTCCTCATCTGCTGGATGGCGAGCGAGATCATGGGCTCGATGGCCTCCTGGTCGAGCTGGGGTAGGTCGTCGGTCTCCATCTTGACGCCGCCGCTGCCGCCCTGGCTGCCGCCGGACAGCGTCCTCCTGAGCGGAGCCAGCTGCTGCGCCAGGGTGGGCGCCAGGCCGCCGAGCGGCCCCAGGTCGAACGGCTTGAGGTTGAACTTGCGCTGGAAGCTCGTGTCCTTGAGGACCTCGCGGAGGAGGTGGTGGTCGCCGAGGCGGTCGTCGTCCTCCTGGGGCAGGCCCTGGGGGACGCTGGCGTCCTGCTGCTGCTCCTGCTTGATGTAGCTGGGCGGCGACACGGGCGTGGAGAAGAGGAAGGCCGTGCTCCGGTTCTCCCACGACGAGCAGCTGCCGAGGAGGGGCTCGGCCAGCTGCTCGGACACGGGCTCGGACTTGACGACGGCGACCTCCTGCTCCAGCAGCTCCTGCTTGCCGCCCTTGTACGGCTGCTCCGGGAACATGGGCGGCGGCGAGGCGTCGCAGAAAAAGGACATGAGCTGCTGCACGCTGGTGGGCGAGTAGGGCACCTCCGAGTCGGCGGGGCCGTTGTAGGAGAGCGGGCCCCAGGACGGGCTGGCTGCGCCGCCGCACAGGCTGCCGACGTGCGAGGCCGGGGCGGGGCCGGGCGCGGGCAGCAGCGACAGGTCGAACGCGTCGAAGTCGCCGAACTCACAGGGGTTGCCGCGAGGGCTGGGCACCGTCTGCGGCATCTGTAACACAAGAGAGGCCACGGGTTCAAAGACTGGCCGACTACAAATTCTACTTGTTGTTCACCCCCCACCTCCTTCATATGGACCAACTCATTGCCTTTTGTTCACGATCGAGCATCCACTGCATGCTGAGTAACGCACCGATACAGTCTCACGAGCTGTCTGCCTGTCTCTGTCCCGCCCTCCTGCTCTCCCTCTCCCTCCCCCATCTCTCTCTCTCTCTCTCTCTCTCTCTCTCTCTCTCTCTCTCTCTCTCTCTCGCACACACACGCACGTGCGTACGCACACACTCGCCGCAGCCTTGACATTAGCCGAGCGACAGGTAACAACGGCAGTTACGCCCTTGCAAACCGCACTGCGCGCGCGCACCTTCAGAGACAACAACAGACGGGCGTGGGGTGGCGGAGTGCGGGGGCAGAGCGGGGCGAGGAGAGGCGGGGAGTGGCAAGAGCTTGGTGGCGATCCAAAGCTCGACTGCACTTTCACCTCGAAATCATTTTACGGACCCACCGCGCAACGCCACGCCGAGCCTGTGCCGTGCGGCCCGCGCTTGTGCGCCTTTGCGCTTGTGCGGCTTGTGCGGCTTGTGCACGCCCCCAATCGCACAACCGCCATTAGAATAAAGCAGGGCCGTAAAAACGCAGCCGGAGCCGCAGTAGTAAATTCAGCGGGTTGTGTTCCTGCTGCTGCTGCTGCTGCTGCCGAGGTAGCCCGGGAGAGCAGAAGAGTTGAAAAGAATAATGAACGTCGCACCAACCAGACACGAAACGCATAAAGCAAACATCTTCCTGACGATGTCCATATGGGCGTTACTACGGGCTCCACAAAGGCGTCATGCAGAGCACAAAACAAAAAGGCCATATTGAACACAGCTGTACAATTGGTATAAATGAAACTTCCCAGGAAAGAACAACGAGATTCGTTTTGTTCCGTTCGTTTGAGTAAATTTTCTCTGATATTTTGTTTACAAATGCATGAGAGTAAAAATTTGCAACAAATGTTCACATGGTTCAGCGCCAATATCATCAAAATGACCCTCGCGCTTGCCCTCGCGGCTGAGATGGCGGGTGGCGGCGCGGCAAGCGCGGCGGACCCCTCGACGCCTTTCCAACCAACCAACCGGCTGGATGATGTACGACTAAGAAAAGGTAAAACATAGAGTGGAGCGCGCGGCGCGCCTTTCACCTGCACTCCCAACCCCTCCCTCCCTCCTCCCGGTCACTCACACACACCGCTGACCAGTCGGTGTCAGTCAGGTGTGCACGTGCTGAACACGCATCCTGAGCCGTCACCTCGGCACCCACACCTAGACATGGGCAAACGCTCGAAATAAAGCAAATACTTTTAATTCTTTTTAAAAACTGCACCCTTTCCTGAACCCTTTCAAATAGATGTTCACCTTAATTTAAGACAAAAAGAACTCTTTTTGTATCAAGGGTCACAGACATCAGATTTAGATAGTCGACTATGAAACAGAGTAATACCCATTGAAATAGGGTCGAAAATTACTTTGGATTAGGTGAATAAAAAAGTCCTTGGTTTAAGGATTCGATTTTCAAGCATATCACACCACCAATTATAGTTCAGTTAATAATGCCATGGAAATCGGAATACACACTTTCAAAAGTGCACTTGCTAATCACCGGAAAGGGACGAGCTGCTTTACATTTTAAACGAAACCCAAGGAAATTCAGACGGGAGTGTGCATGTTTAAAACTGCGGCTTTCTTTTTACTTGTAAGCACTTGCTGGTACTTCCCCGCCTTAATGGTCGCCGTGCCTGGGTTCGGAATTGGCTCCAACGTCTATTAGGAAGAGGGGAACAGGTCTGACCCCCCTCCGCCTCCCTCCCTCCCTTCCCTCTCTCTCTCTTCCCTGACCTTGAAAGTGCCTCAACGAATGTGTGGCGCCGCGTGGCGCAGTACCTCCAACTCGCAATACGCAGGCAGCCCAAAAGGTTTTCAATGTCAAACAGGCTGTGGAGGGATTTCCAACTCCAGCCGGCGAGGCTCTTCTGAGGCCCGGCAGGCGGGAGGCGCTCCAGCTTTGACTTCAAGCCTCCTCAGAGGGGACGACGGTGGTTCCCCGCTCAGAAAAGTAATTTTAATTCAAAGGTTTGGCATCGCAGCAGCCGGCTCCATATGTTGGAACATGATGGCACACCCATCCGTAACAATCCTTAGAGTATGCGTGAGTAGTGCAGTCGTAGGAAGTGCAACAAGGTTTTATTTATCACCAACAAATTTCTGTATTAGTTTTTTTTGACACAATTTTGAACTTTTTTGAATACACTAAACGAGTCAATAATATTTTGTAAAATAAGTTGTTTTTTGTAACATTCTTACGTGTGTTTTTAGAACTGTAATTCCCGCGGGCAACAGTGGATGTAATTCTCACTGGCTTTCATTGCAACCGAAAAACCTCTTCAAAAATCAAGCTGAGCCAAACCATTGACTATCACGAAAATAACCATACCATGTCCGTGTGACGCTGCGCGGGTCATCTCACTCCAAATTAATTCTGCTGCACTTCGCACCGGCCACCTCGGGTCCAGAGCAACGACTGAGCGCGACCCGAGCGCGGAGAGCCGTCTTATAGCACAGCTTTGACCACGACCGTGTAGCAGCGCACGACCGCATCCAGCACGTCACCACCACAACGCTGCAACGTCACTGCAGCGCGCGGCCAAACGGAGTGACCCCCCACCGGGTGAACCACGATAAGACACTCCAGCAAACTGCACCGTTAAATTACCATACAACGTCGCGCTTGATTGACGAAACAGAACCACTCACTGTAAAATGGTTACGAACTGAATGCTTTGCAAACGTCACGAACAACTTTCATACTTTGCAGTGCAAAAAAATTGTTTGTATAGCAAAGCAATTGTTTTGTGAGGCTAGGAAGGTTTTACGAACAATCGGTTTGCGTTACGAAACTCTTTGTTCAGAAGCTTACGAAGATTTAGTTCGTAATACAACGCTCCGAAATTCTTCGTGTAAGCTACGAAGGTTTTCGTTTGCATAACAAACCTGCATGTTGTTCGCAAGCAATTTACAGTGCTGACTTAGTTTGTGATAATATCATCTTTCCCACACTGGCGCATGAGTGCGGCAGAGCGTTTCTGTTTAGTATTTGACCCACGTTCGGAACTTGATGAAACACAAATCAGCCCCACTAGACGCAGAGCAGTGCAAGACAATAACTTCCCATGGCGGCGATTGTCGGCTCAATGACGTCTACGGAAGCCCCTGCTGTGGGCGCCGGAAGCGGCCCCGGAGGCTATAGCGCGCCCAGCGGCCCAGCGGCCGAGGGGGAGGCCGCGCCCCACGGCTGCGCCCCACGGCTGCGCCCGGGCCTCGGCGATGACGTCGGCAGTGGTCCGCGCGGGCAGGCGCGGGCCAATGGGCGGCCGCCTCCCAGGGCGTGTGCACGAGCACGAGCCTATCAGAGCGCGTCCACTGCCGTGACGTAATTGGGCGGCCATCGGCACGATCGCTGCTCCGATTGGGCTGGCTGCGTTTGGTTCATATGAGCCGAATCAAGCGTATGGGGCGATAGCCAGCCGAGGCACAGAGAACCACACTCACCGACACTCTATACTATGCATGGGACGCGAGTGAATAGGGAATCGACTGGAAAGTGCGTCGTCCGTTTTCCTCAGATTAATTCGGCAACTTGCAACGGGAGCTGAGCGCCTGCGAGACACGGGGTAGGCACCCCCGCAGGACACTCATGCACTGCAGGCACATGTTTGCCTACCTACCAGGCGCTTTGAGAGCTTGAGAGCGGATAGGCTGAACTTAGCACTTTTGCAACGGCGAGTGGTACGGAGGTGTACTCTCTGCATGACTCCATTAGATGCAGGTCAGAAACCGCATTGTAATGGGAACAAAAACGTTTTTAAGTACATGCCATCTAAAACAATTCTTCATGTAAAGGACAACACTTTTTGTATGAAAATACCAGCCAGCTCGGCAAAGATTTTCTGCCGCTTGGGATATTGACTGGTGAAAAGGGGAAAGGGCGTAAGTCCTTCGACTTGACTTCCCATTGGACTTACGCCCTTTCCACTTTTTATACCAATGATATATAGTCACCCGACTATCGCGGCGGGCTTCGCCTCTTGCTTCGCCGACTTGGTCAGCCCCATCTCGCCATTCCGATAATTACCGCGGACTTTTGCTATTTCGCGGTTGGCTGATTAAGATCTCTACCGGCACAGGAGGACGGGACGGCCCGGAGCTGCTCCTGCCTGGACGGGCCGGACCCTGGTCTTGTAGTAGTGTCATCAGTGACGCCACAAGAGCGTCCAGCGTGACGGCGTCACCGGCGTCCCCACGGGCGAGCAGAAGCCGAATCGGTGACGGCAAGAGGGTATATGACGCCATCGCCTACGGCGGCCCGTCCGGTGGGGCACGGGCCACCTCTAAAGAGATTGATGAACGAGAGAGAAGAGAGAGAATAAGGTGAGGAGGGATGCGGGGGGGGGGGAGTGCTGTATGCTTCATTTAGAAGTGGAAACATCACTCAACTATCACTCTCGGATGAATACAGTAGACAGCTTTACCATGTACTCTTGGGAGTGGACGGTAATCCCAGCAGACGAAAAAAAAAGAACAACACAATCATGGGAAACTTTGGACTTGAAACGAAACACCATTCTGCAAAGAGATTTTCGTGCAATGAATGGCTTTGCCACACAACGACGCGAGGGGCAACCGCGAATATTGATTATCTCATTTCACAAGGTCGTTAATGTGTGGTCGACTGGGACGACCCAGCCGACCCTGAAGCAGCAAGCTTCTACAAGTTGCATTAGTTTTAAAGCAAGTAAGTAATTTACATTCGCTCTCAGCGGTTTATCCCCAGACTCATGGGACGCTACATTCGGGTTAGCGGTTCGTGTACGCTTAGCGTTTAAGTCTCCATGCATACTTTTACTTGTGACGTTAAGAAATGCATAAACCAACGTTACCAAACCTTTAGCAGAGATTCAAAGCACACGTTCGATCGCCAGAACTGCCCAATTGCACTCACTCACCCGCGTACCCTTCCGGCGCTTTTCCTATGGCCGGGCCTCCGCGCTGCGTCCCCCGCGGCGAGCTAGAGCGGACTGAACTCGCTGCGCCGGTCGCAGACGGCCGAAAGGAACTAGAGTGCCCCTAACTCCTCCTCCCCTGCCGACAAGCCCCTCGCCAAAATGGACAGTAAACCAAACAAGCGGAGCGTTCGAAAAGTGTTCGGCTCTTTGTTGTGGAACCTTTCCACTCTGGAGGTACAACCGACGCCGCCCTTCCCCACGAATCGTTAAAAAAAAAGACACACGAAAGCAATTGAGCATCGTCGTTGCGCACAATTGCAAAGGCAATAAGTGCAGCGTTTTGTGTCCGCGCCCGCCCTTTTCACTCTCGACTGAACTTGTTGTAATAACCAATAACCTACTCACAGATAAGATTTTACCGGGAAGGCCTTTTTTACGGTCAACTTTTGTTGTTTGGGACAGGAAGGGTTTTAGGAAGGGGCGAGCTGACTCCGTCAGAATAAGTTGCTATATTGCCATGGAAATGGCATATCCGCCTTTGCAACAAACCAGGCTGAGTTCACTAACGTCTCGCTTTGATGCTTAGAAATAGTTAATTATATAATAATTGATGATAAACAAAGTGGTTCACTATGCAACCTTTTAGTTTTTATCAACACTTTTAACGTCTTATAGTCAAAATTTCTTTACTAGGTAAAAGTTAGCCAAGGTTTTGTAAAACTGTGGAAAAATATTTCCAGATTCCAGATGTGTTTTTAAAATGGTTTATCATGCCCTGGGGGCGGAGAGTAGAGACCCCGGGGAAATCGAAACACAACAATTGAAGTCTAACAGCTTCAATTTGTTACCTTCATGTGTTTAAACTGCCCCGCAACCCCACCGCCCTCTCCGTCCCCCATAATGGAGCTGTGTACCGAAAACTAGCACCTCTTTATTTCCGCACGTGGAGTGATCAGCGGGCGGGCGGTGTGGGTGGGGGAAAGGACGAAGCGAGAGAACGGCCAGAGGCGGTCAGACACGCGCGATCGCACAACCGTGATAACATTGTAGAAGGACAAGCTGCGTCTTAGCACCTAATCGACCGGCGTTAATGTCACTCGAACGATCACAAGACGAGCAAATGTCTCCACTAGGAACAAAAAGTAAAAAAAGAAGAAAAAGGGATAAGAAGAAATTGGACTTCGGCAAGTACAGGGTACTGTCATCCTGCATCCTAATTTAGTAGGGCATTTACAGAACGGTAACCAAATACACACTGTACACACTTGACGCAGCACTAAGGTGATTTAAACTTTGAGAGATTCGGCACCGAATTTCGGCCGGAGTTCCGACGAATCCTCCCTACTACGTAAACGCACGCGCATGGCTGTTTTTCGCATTCGTTATTTACATTTCCGACGTTGACGCACGCGCTGTAGCAAAATAGCAACAGAAGCGTCATAACTTCCACTCCATACCGCAGCAAACAACTGATCTGGATTCCCCGACGAATTAAATTTTGTTTGTTCAGTTGCCACCTCTGTTGCATCTAGGCTTATTTCAAGAAATGTTAACAGCAAGTCTTGGACTCAGGATCAGATGCTGGTTGAGACGTTAAATCCCATGGGGCTACGCTCAATGGGTCACTGATCGTGATATCATTTATGCAAATACCGTATAGATGGTCAGGACCGCGAGGGAATGTAAGAAGGAGTCATACAAGTGTAAATTGTTGAGAAATCCTAAAATTATCCCTAGTTTGTTCTCGGGGGTGTCAGTTTGAATTTGGGCCGAATACAAATTGGGGATAATTTTAAGAAATTCCCGAAATTAAGTCATTTTTTGAGAAATTGTACTTACCCCCTAAAGCCGAAATATGAAATTGGGCACGAACTTTACTCATTTAGTATACAGTCAACAATGAAAACCCCAAAGTTTGCAACAGTTCGAGAATTTACACTTGTGTGACTCCCATTGTAAGGCTTAACGCTAGGGTTAAGCAGAGGGACTTTCTTAATAGGTGTCTCTTTTCAAGTCCACGAGCGCAAGCGCGAAGGAAAACCGGAAGACCCCATAAAACTGTCACTGAGACACACAGATAACCGAATTAAGCGAAGCATGACTTCAGCCTCCCGTACCTGGACGAGGTGGAGGTTTCATTCTAATGACCGCTAAATGCCGTTCAATTAAGCGCTCGGACGCAGACGCACACGACCTTGGAGAAATCAGTCGGCGCACACGATTCGCCCGGCTAAAAGGCTTCGAACACGGGCGCGCAAACGGCCTACTTCCCAGAACTTGGTCGGAAAACCCAACATCAGGACTTGTCTACCGTTCCGAAAGAGAGGGACAAGATGGAGCCGATATACGTGTGCGTGTGAGATACATTGTGGCCCGATATTTAAGACCGATTGGAAATAACGCCTAAGCACAATTGAGTGCTTTCATAAATTCAATATGTTCTGTTTAGTGCGTCTGTGCATCCGAGGGGTTGGAAAACCAAGCGTGAATAAACCGCAGTAACGCCGCACTAAAAAAAAGTTGGGAGGTGAAGTTTCCACTTGTAAAATTGAACTTCTATATAGCTTGAGGGGTTTCTCGGCAACACCTCGTAAGTATGGGCGTGAAGAACTTAGTCAACAGATCGTTATTTTCTTCCTCGTCCGCACAGTTGCCTGCCTGCGTGTAATTACATTTGAGGAGCCGAGCGAGAGGGTAGCAGGGTGGACTGGACGGAGAAATCAGACACGACCGGTTGCCTGGAGTGGCGGGGCGGGGCGGGGCGAGGCTGAGCGGAGCGAGGCGGGGCGGGCGAGGCAGAGCGCTTAGCGCGAGGCTAGCTAGCTCTGCGTTCAATATAACTGGACCAGCAGGGGTACTACAAGGCATCAAGGTCATCATCCCGACAGTGTGGAAAATTTAGAAGTGTATTATTCTCCCTAGATTATCAGAAAAGAAAAGGAAGGGCTGGGAGGAGTAAAGGAAATAGAGAGAGAGAAAAACAAGAAGAGTCATGCGAGAGCAGCGAGAGAGAAAGAGAGAGATGTGGCCGGCTGAAGAAAGAGAAAAGAGGACCGACAAACAGACCCAATGGCCTTGGATGGAATGCGCGAAAGCCGAAAAGCAATCGAACCATCGCGAGAACAAAACTCATAAAACGTTTCACCAGCTCGGCTTCAGAACCAAACCAACTGGTCGAATATTTTATGGACTCCGAGATATTAGTTACGACCCAGCGATTTTTCATGTCGATCAGCAAGACGATAATGTTACAAGAGTTTAATTTATTTTTTCGGTCCATGTCATTTTAATTAAGAAGCTGGTCGTGTTTTGAGGTGCTTGCCAGTAGATATTGCCATCTACTTGATTTCCAGCCTAATATGCTGATTCCCATCGCATCGATTAAACCTTTTATCGCTAAGCTATTTGCTTAGTCTTGATATCAGCCAAAACTTATATTTTTACTCTGCTTCATGTGCGTTGCGTACGATCCCACATCAAGACGTGAAACACCCAAAGCTACCGACTGGCGCCATCCACCCCAAAACATCGAAAAAGCGCTCCCGAAACAAGAATAACAAAAAAGAGTATTATTTCACGCTTCGCTGGTTTTGCGCTGAATCGTCCAAGACTCATCGACGGGTACAACCAACTTCGCGCTCGCGAATAGGCGTCATCTTGCCGCCGCGAGATCAATATTTGGTGGTTAGAAGGGGCGGGGAAAACCACTTTGCCAAAACTACACGTTTGTGGGAGGGGAAAGTTCCATGCAATGAATTTGGATGAACTGTTGATCGATTTACGATGGGGTAAAATTCATGTTTTTTCGCATATTCTACAGAAAGTCCCATAGACCCCGTACCATTCTCTGGTTCTACTGTACCGCATTCGTGTGAGTGGCGGTTGCCTACTCCTTGGGCGCCAAGGCGGTCAGCCCGCCCGTACCATGACCGTGTCAGCGCTACGACACAAACATTGCTGCAGGTTTGCGTAAGCTAGGGGCCATGGCGCCTTAAGCATTGAACAGGTAGGCCAACCCGCACACGTTAAGTGTTAAACTTAACTGTTGACAAACTTTTCAGTGTTCACATGTCTAGTCGCAACACTTAAAAGTAAGCAACGTTGTGTTAAACACTTGCACGGAGTCCGCCAGTTGCACCCCTTATTTAGCAGTGTGCACCTGAATACGGTGCAGAATACAGGGTGGTCCACACACAGACCCCTTCACTTGTATTGTACCGCATGCAGTCGTGTGGGCGAGATGCATACTAGCACAGGGCCGTCAGGCGCCACGGTGAGCGACGGTATGCAAGCCCGCAAAAAAATTAAGGATGGGGTCTGTTGACCACCCTGCATAACCAGGAAAGGGGGTACATACGGGGACACGTATAACGTGAGACACGTTTAATTGTCTGCGCAGATTAAAATCAAAACATCATTCGGTGTACTGGCTATTTCAGCGAAACTACCAAAAGATATCGCCAAAGTACAAACACGGCAAACAAGTATTTGTGATTAGCTTTGCCTCAAGTCACGTTGACGGTTTAACGTTTGACTTGACGTCAGCGCGGGTGGGGGTGGGCGGTCGTGTTTGAACACAGCCGTGAGTGTTCGCGGTGCTGCTCAGACTCCACACCCCCTTAAACGTTTCCCAACCACCGCCGCCTTGTTCGGCCGTCCCACGCGCGTGCGGCTCACAACACAACGACACGGCGACGGGAAGTGGCACACCTGTTGCTCTTGCAGCGAACTGTACTCACCGTCTCTCTCATCAGGTTGTCGGCGCCCCTCATGAACACGGCCGCACTCATGGTGGTGGGGTTTCGCGGTCAAACACGACAGTCACAACAAAAACAACCAGCACTAACACGGCAACAACAAGAACGCACACGCGAAACGCAGCACTGTTGGGTTCCCCTGTTCTGTTCGGGTCGCATGGGTAACGGGGCGGCTGCGGCTCTGCGTGCGGCCGGGGAGCTTTCTCAAGACTGACTGCCTGCTGCTGGAGGGCCGGCCGCGTCGCGGGTCTCCCCCCCC